AACATTGTGAATGAAGCAGCAATAAATTAAATATTATTATTACATAAAATGCATAAAATATTATTACATAAAATATTATTACATAAAATGCGACGTTCTTCTGAAAAATGGAGTAGAAGTGAATTTTTTTTTTTGAGAAAAATGCTTTGTTCTTATTTTTCCATAGAAAATTAAAATAGTTTATCCAATGAGCTATCACCAGTCTCTAATTCGCCGGTCCCGCTTATCACCAGCGCAATCTCTTACACACTTTATGAGCTTTATTTTTCCGGGCTCTTTCCGCCAGGATTTAGTTTATCTCCAGTTCTCACCTGTGACGAAAGCTTGTGAAATAATATTTTTCAGACGTTGAAGCTGCAGCAAACTTTGCTCCTACTGAAGCCGTTGGGGGATGCTTTGGAGAACAGCAAAGCAGCCCTGTTTCAGTATTGTCACAGTGTATGTTATTCATTATTGACAGTGCAAAAATTAATTTTAAAAAAAAACGATATTTTGGAATTTACCAAAAACAAAGGTCAAATTTTTTTCCTCTTCTCTCCCCCTTCTTTCCTCTCCCCCCGCCTCCATTTCCTCCCCCTGCGTTTTCTCCCATGATTCATTGTCTTCGAAAAGTGAGGGCTCTCGTAAGGCCTACTGTTATTGCAGGCTTCTGAGCAACCATTTGCAGAATTAACCTATCAACTGTCAGCATGCTTAATCAAGCCGCATTGCCACACTGGTTGTCATTTAGCCCAACTTTTACCATTTTTAAAATATGGATAGAATTTGCAGCATTTGAAGGATGAACGATTTGAAAATATCCTTGAAATTTTGGATAATCGATTGGATAGAAGTCGACATACTTCCGAACGATCCGCATTAGCAGGTCGGCAAAGGCGTTGCTTTGCGATTAGGGTAAGTTTGTAACTGCAACAATAAGTTTTCGCATTACTTTTTCTTGTTTTTTTTTTGTTTTTTTGAAATGTGTTCGAACTAATCGAATTGTTTTTCTGCGGTTTAAAAACGCTGGTTTGGCCAGAAATTCTAGTCACTGAAATTTTTCTAGGAGGGCACGGACCAAGTTATTGATATGTTGCGTCGTGGTTATGACGAGCTATTGCAAGACACACAGGGTAAATGTTTAAACTGTGATCACAGGCTGATTTCAGTTTGTTTCTTTTTCAATGCGCTGTGAGCACTGGTGGGTTTCTAGTGAAGCGGGGAGACGTGCTAGCTCTCTTCTTCAATATTTTTGAGTTAAGTCCAAGAACAGGCCATCGAGGTCTTTAAAGATGAGGCTTAGATTAGTTTTTGTTCCTAAACAGCAAGCAAAACATGTTTCGATTCAAGCAAATGCTGCATCTGCGGCTTATACATTTCCCGCAATTTTTTCTTTTCTGTTTGCAGAAACGGCTGAAGAGGATAAAAAAGAACTGCCTCAAGCCAGGCTTATATTCACGGCGAATCGAGGATTTCATTTTTCGATTCCGTTCGCGGACCCAGTAGCCAAAGTAGAACTGCCAGACCATTTCATTGAAGTTGCCAGGCATCGCGCCTCTATATCGTTCACCACACGATCACTTGTCCGCTATAATGGTATATGTTCCTTAATTTTCATCTTTTACATAAAGGCCGTTAGATTTGTTGTTTGAACCTGTTTTGTTTTACCATGAAGATTCTTTAAATTCTCATATCAGTGGATTCAAGAAAACCATTGCAAGGGATAATAAGAGTCTTAATTAACTTAGCTTAGAAAATTTCGTGTGCCTACCGCTTGT